AGTCAGCGGGTTGGGTTCTGCATGTCAGCCGCGCAGCTTGCATGGCGTTGTTTTGTGTGTTTTCGGATGATGTGGCTTCAAGAGGTGTAGGATTTCCGCGTGCAGTCGGCCAAGGGAGGCAGATTGCTTGTACCAGCGCCTTTTGACAGTATAGAGTGGGTTTTGCTAGCCGAATTGCCACTGCCTCTGCTGTGGTTAACACCCGTTTGCGCAGGCCTTCGGAGTAATTTGTTGGCGTGCGGTATATGGCCCGAAGGCTTCTCTCGCGTCCACTTGGTGGTTTGTGTCAATTATATGGGCGAGGATTGAACTTGAGATCGGTCTGTTCTCCCCTCTGCTGAGCCAGGCTGGTATGTGCTCGCGTATTCTCTTCTCCAGACGTTGCGTTGTTCGGCCAGTATAGCCCGCTCCTCAGGAACAGGTGAACAAATAGATGCACATATATAGATGCACACATATTCTCTCTTTCTATCGAAATTAGCGTAAGGGCACATGCATTATAACGTGGATTCCTATTTCCGTACGCAGTTTGAATTATCCCCTCAGTTGACGGTTTTTAAAATCAGTGATTTCAACGCAATGGGATAGTTTGAAAGCACGTCCGTTTTTTTTATAGTGAGAAGTGCGCAAGTATGACCTTCTTCTCTCTTTCCTCTTCCATACATGAGTCCACTGCCTAAGCTGGTTGGCCATTTGATATTGGAATTAGGCCCAAGTGGCTGACAGAGTTCACTAATCCATCTACACGTGTCGCATACAATCTCACTCCAAGACAACCCACTGGTTTTTTAAAAAAGAACTCCTTCACTCATTAGTATGCAAGCCTTACTTTTAATTTGGCATTCTTCTAGATTCGTTCACCAAAGTAATTGTTATTAATATTAAACCAGTAATCACATGCTGAACGATGATGGATACGAGAAACCAAATCTTCCGAGTTGTGTAGGATAGGTGTCACGGACACACAAAGTACGCGCTTGAACTGTAAACTCCTACTTCTATTAGAAAAGTGCTGAACCCACTTCTACCTATTAAAGTAACTAATAGATGCACCTCTGAGAAGTGTAACCACTAAATTACAATGTCACTTAAACTGAAGAAATTCAACTGAAATTTTTCGTATATAAAGTTGGTTAATAGGGGTTTGACAGATTTGAATATTTCAGTTGACCCAATTGTGAATAACTCGCGGCCTCAGTTGGAGTTGAACTTACGCAACGGGGAAGGCTTCCGTGCCGCCGATGCTCTACCATTGAGCTACGAGGCTCACCGTGAGCGTGAATTTAATTAGAGTTAGCTCAATTTTATCCGCTCAACTTACTGCTCGTATGGAATCCGCCACTAGAGGTAGAGCAAGCTGGCTATCCAGGCATGATTTCCTAAGCCATCATCTAGAATCCACCAGAATGACTACTAGGCTTACTTACTTAAAGGGGGGGGGTTGGCAGATGAAATTCACTTCTCATGGTGAGCCTCGTAGCTCAGTGGTTGAGCATTGGCTGCGCACAAGGCTTCCCTGTTGTGTGGGTTCGACTCCCACTGAGGCCGCGAGTTTTTTAAACTTGGGTAAACCGAAATATAAAGTTGTAGCAGGTCGGATTCGAGGACTTAACTCCAGTTTGGTTCAGGAACTCACAACGTAAAGGTAGTTTGTTGTTCTTGTTGTGCCCTTTACGTCCTGTTATTTCCATCTTTAACTATTGTACAATACTCTTCGCAAAGACTAAATCCATCTCTTTACTGACTCCCCAAGGGATGTGCAGCCGAAGCATTGCTGGCGCTGTCTCTGATTCCCTCCGTCATAGACCATTTTGGCTTTTCGGAGGGCATGCGGCGACATGGTATTGCTGACTTTCTGGCCTGGCGAATCAGTGCAGAGTCTCAGCTGGTTGCCCAGGAGCAAAAGTCAGACACGGAGACCGAATGGACTAGCTTCTTGCCGATGGAGCTGACGGACCCTAGAGTTAGTGCTCAGTTTCATTCCGTCACTTTATCAAGTCGTTGCAAGCACTGAATTGGTACTTATTTTGTTACGTTGAGGATTGTTGGGAAAGGGATATTTGTAGAGCGAGAAAAAGCTCACTGTAGACCGACGAGAAACCACTTGCCTCGTGATGTACTTTCCGACAGAACTGACTTGACGTAACATTCCGCAAGAATAGAATAATTTCATGGAAAGGCATCCTTTGGGAAATGAGTAAGTTTATTGAGTAAATTTTTGACACCTGGATCCCCAGTTCGTCATCAGACTAAGAGAAAGTTACAAACAACAGTTAGCATTTCAAAGTGCTGATACAGTTATATAGTCATCTGCAAACAGCAGTTGTTTGCAAATTTCTCTCAAGTCTGACGACGAACTTGGGATCCAATGTCGAAAATTTACTCAATAAACTTACTCACTTCCCAAAGAATGCCTTTCCATGAAATTGCATTTCTTGGGATGCCTGCCTTTCAGTTTATACAAAAGAATGTAATAAGTGACTTTAGTTCACTGACTATTTTACTTATAATAGATTCCAATTCAGAACGAATGATTTTTGGCTTGTTGGATTCCGTTATTTCTATAGGTTTGCAGCAGCCAAAATGTATGATTGCTTACATCGTGAATGACTGGCTTGTGTTTTATTTATGATCGCGGGTCATTTTTTCCTGTTAAGCTAACTACTCGAATTCAGACAATGCATATATATACGAATACAGGAGCGTTTGTTGGCCGCAGACAATAATAATTCAACAGCAACCTTGGAATTTTGTTATCAGCACATTTTTTCAGTTGCTTGTACCGGTTGCATGAAGAGTATTATTTCAACCCAAGCAGATAACACAAACGTCAATTTTCATGGTCTTTAAAAATAATAATTAAACCGAGCACCCTTTTCCCCGATACACGGACATCTGTGTCTAGGTCTGCCTACGGTACTTTAATGACTTTTATCTTCCTCAGAACTTACTGACTAACTTGAAGTAAATTAGTCCGACCTAAGGGTTATAGGCACAGACTGATTGTTGAGCCTAGAAGCCTCAGTTCAGATTAATTTACCACAAGTCAGCGATTAACTTCTGCTGAAATTAGAAAGTAGTAAGTTCACAACTAAAGTGTCTACCAGAGAGCACACACGGAACTCTGTGGGGGACTAATGGACGAGACGAAACTCTCCCAGCTCCGTCATGTAGTGAAAGAATATCGGCGAAACACTTGTTTGGTCTTTTAGTTGGTACCATTGGTGCCAGAATGGAGCATCTCGTAACCTTAATATGTACTGTAAGTTTTAAGGGACTTATTAGGAGGGTTTGGCAGATTTGAATAATTTGAA